AACGATTGGGTCTACAGGGCCCAATGTGAAGGGATAAGTGTAAAAAACCTAAATACCCCTCCACACGGGTAGTGATATCGTCGTCATGCCCATGGAATACCTATCTCCCCATTTACTGTCCTCTCGGACAGTAGGGAGGGTATCTTCGTGACAGAGCATATATATCATGTTTGGACGAGGCCTTCTCGACCTTAAAGTCATCCGCATTTGAAAAGTCCCCAGGAATAAAGCTTTTCAAGGGGGGCTCGGGGGTCGGTTCGGTAGCAGCCACTTCGGGAGCAGCCGTCTCAAGGACAACCATTTCGGGAGCGGCCACTTCGGTACTGGCAGCCGGATAGGAAGATGCAAAAGGCAGCCTGCTGAGGAACTGACTAGGAAGTTTTAGCCATTACTATCTAAAAAAGCTTGAAAATTTAGAGAAAAAGTATGGAGATTTGAAGGAGCAAGTTTAAAGGCTGAAGAAAAGAGTATCAAGACATGAAGATTTGAAGGATATTTGGTTAAGAACCTAAGAACAAATCTGAAGATTTGATGATCAAAGGGGGAGATATCAAAGTTTGAAAGAAGTTGGCGATAGTTGGGAAATTTGAAGGTAGAAACTTGCTCAGAAAGAGAAAAAAGAGAAAAAAGGTAGAAGCTTTTATAGGGGAAGTAGGCGACACTTCGTATTCGGAGGCAACCAGCTGATGGTTGACCACGTGTCTGATGTCAGAACGATGCAACTGATGAGACATTTCGACTTCTTCGTCGTTTCGGTTGTAACGTATGGAGAAAGAAACCGGAGAACATCTATCGTTTTCATCATTTCGACAAACCTACTCTCTGAGAAACGAGGGGACTATCTGTATACGAGTATAACCGGGGATAATGAGCACCTCAATTTCCCAGTGGGGCAAACGAAGCAAGGACATAACTACAAGGAATCGAAATCGAAGCTAGGAACCTCTCGTACCAAGGCCCGAACAAAGTACCTTTCCCCGGAGCCATAGAGACTATGTCCCAGGATCCGATTCGAGCTCTAAGACCTCGGAAAGCATTACCAAACATCCACACATGATTAACAAAGGCTGTGATATACGTGCCCAACTAAATATCATGGCGTAGATCTCAGCCCGTATCGGCAGTAGATCATTGATTAACGAAAAAGAAGATTTTTACCTTTCTTAGAATTGTACTAGGAATGAAACTCTCCTACTATATAAAGGAGATAATTTTTATTCAAGAAACACACTGTAACACGCATATTAAGGCAATATAAACTTGTTTTCTCTGCTTCTAAGTTATTTCAAAGTTCTAATCCTTGTCATAGCTTTTCATATATATATTTTGGCTCCCAATCGAAGGCGGACTAATTGTTAAGCTCTGATATGAGCCCGGACTCAATACTGCAGCTGGTTTGGCTACTCGTTTTATCTTTAATTTTCTTATCTAATGTTATTGATCACTTGTATTGGATTAATCCACGCATCCTTAAAATAGCAAACAAATTCAATTACTATCCATTTTTAAGGGGTAAACAGTTATATAACATTAATTGCAGTACATAAACCTGGTGGGTCCAGTTCAATATAGAGTTAGTGGCTAAAGTCTAAAAATACGTCGAAGAAGCAAAAATGCCTAATTGGGTCGAATCAAACGATCAAAGGAAAGATTGATCGAGGATGAATAACGTAAACGAGAGCAACCTAAAAAAAGTAGCTTGATGCACGAAATATCCTGCATTGACGCAAAATTCGAAAAAAGGCCCTATTGAAAGAAAATTTTGGACATACTATCGCAGAACGAGCCAACCTTAGGTCGTGAAGGAGCAACTAAGCGACGATGACCTTCACTCATTATTGTGTTGAGTTCTGATCACATCGGTTCCTTAGGGATGGGATGATATCTTTATATGGTCTCGGGCAATCCTCATCTATTGAGCTAGTTTTTAGAATTAAGTTAGGTTACAAGTAATTCATTTCTTTATCATGATATTAGAATTATGTTCATCTCAATTCCTAATTACCTGATAATAGGCTCCCATCTTATATTATCCAAGCTCTAGACCCCATCTTATATTATCCAAGCTCTAGATATTTAGTCTTATACATGTGGAGGGAGGCGAGCTGTTGAGTTCCCGCCTCAGTTCTGTGATGGTCTTTTGATATGATTTTGAATAATTTTCACCTATTAATGCTTTTGGGATTGAGTTATATCCAAAATCCTTTTGCATATCTACACTAAGTCCAACAATGAGGAGACCAAGAGAAGAACTTAATTAAAGAGCTACCCGATCAACTGGCGAGGCAAAAGCAATGTGTCTTAAGCAGGCACAAGGCAAGTGTTAAGCTTGTGGTGTGCGTGGGAACAATTGCATAATATATTTAACGAATATTGTAAATTCAAAAACAAAAAAAAAGAGAAATATACTATAGAAGATACAAAGATATACGTAATTCTGTTGATTAAACCTATGTATCGTGTGACATAAGCATTATACTACTCAAAGATAATGTGAAAGAGCGTACAACCTTAGAATTAATGCTTTATTTTTTTTTGGTAATTAAACAATTTTATTACCAAGTAAATATGTACAAGTATTTCGTATCTGAGTTTGGACATGCAGCCCCAAACTCAGTTAATTCCTCCTATTCTAACACTCCTAAGGATAGAAATTTAGTTTTTGAAGTTTATTCTTTAAGCTACTGTCTCTACTCCCTATACAATGTATCTCCTGTATTATATGCCTTGTGATAGCTTCACTACTCCTCTTTTCCTGCTGAAAAATTCTTCTGTTCCGTTCCAACCAAATCTGGTAGACAGCATTTGTGATACATATTCTGTATAGCATGGTTTTCGACCCTTTCCCCTTCATGTGATCTGCTGCCCATTTTAGTTCGTCCTCCCAGCCAGTTATTCTTCATGTCAATCCTATCCATGTTATTAGCTTCCCCCATACTTCTGCTGAGAATCTGCATATAAAAAAACATGTTGATGGCTCTCCAGCTCTTGCTCACAAAGTGAACATTTTGTATCAACTTGTAGTCCCCAGCTGTTCAACCTGTCTTTGGTGTATAATTTCTCTTGTATAGCAAGATATGATATGAATTTCCATCTTGGACAACTTTTGTTATTACATATTAATCTGCTCCACTCTTATTTCGGAAAATCACCTCTCAGTTGATTGTACACTGCCCTGATAGAGTATGTTTGAGTTCCCAATACCTTCTCAATATCCAACCTTGCTTCATTTATATATTTCCCAGCCTGTAGTATCTTCCTGATTATCCATAAAGCTTGCTTCACTTCTACTTGCCATGGAGTTCTCCCCTTTATGTAGTAAACATGCACCCACCTTATCCATAATTTGTCCTTCTTCATACATATATTCCAGAGATGTTTTATTAAGGCTGCTCTATTCCAGATGCTGAGATCAGTGATGTTCAGTCCACCTTTGGATTTAGGCCTGTAAATTTTCTCCCAAGCTACCAGAGCTTTCTTGCTAGCATTTGTATCTCCAGTCCAGAGGAACCTTCTACAAATCCCTTCAACCATCTGTATTATTTTCTTTGGCAGAGGAAAGACCTATGACCAGAAGTTTTGGATGGCAATTAGTACACTCTTTATCAGTTGTAGTCTTCCTGCATAGCTTAAGAACTTAGTTGTCCATTGTTTGATTTTCCCCAGCATTTTGTCTAGTAAGGGTTGGCATTGGCTCACAGATAATCTTTCTGAACTCAGAGGTACTCCTAAGTATCTGAAGGGAATTGCACCAATAGTAAAGCCAGTAGCTTGAATAATGTCCTGCTGTATATCTGTTGGAACACCACCAAAATACATACAACTTTTACTCTGGTTTGCAACAAGTCCAGAAGCTTTTGAAAATTTGTTGAAACATTCACACAGTAGCTGTATAGACATCCCATCTCCTCTGCAGAATAGCAACAAGTCATCTGCAAAACTAAGCTGTATAATGTTTAGTTTTTCATATCTTGGATGATAGTTGAAATTAGGCTCCTCCTTCAGCTGTTTCAGACTTCTGGTCAGGTATTCCATTGCTAATACAAATAGTAATGGTGACATTGGATCACCCTGCCTCACCCCCTTTTTTGCTTCAAATGGAGAAGTAGGACTCCCATTGATAGAGATGGAGTATGATATGGTTTTGAGACATTCCATAATCCATCCTATAAATGTTCTAGGAAAGCATAGCCCAGTCAAAACCTGTTCCAAAAATGCCCATTCAATTGAATCATATGCCTTTTGCATGTCTATCTTGATCATGCATCTTGGTGATATCCCTTTCCTACCATAGCTTTTAATTAGTTCATGACTGAGCAGTACATTATCTATCAATCCTCTTCCTGGCACAAAGGCTACTTGGCTTTCATCTACCAATGTATTCATCACTTGCCTCAATCTGCCTGTTATCATTTTGGAAATGATTTTATAGACTGTGGTGCAGTAAGAAATAGGTCTATACTCTCTGATTGAGCTTGGGTTTTTCACTTTAGGAATAAGGGTGACTACTGTGGTATTGATAGGCTTATACATTTTTCCTGTAGTGAAGAACTCCAGTACTGCAGCAGCAATATCATCATCAATAATTTGCTAGGCTTTTTTAAAGAAACATGCATTAAACCCATCTCCCCCTCGTGCTTTCATGTCATCTATACCTCTTAGTGCCTCCATTACATTTTCCTTTGTAAAAGGAGTAATGAGTTGTAATTGCTGAGTTCTAGTTAGTAGTGGCCCATTCTTTATCCATCCAGGGTGAATAGGTGGTATACATCCTTTTGCAGTTCCCAACAGAGTTTTATAGAATTCAATCACTTCTGCTTCAATACTCCTTGCATCTGTCAACATCTCCCCTTTATTGTTAGTGAGATTTGTAATTTGATTCTGTGTTTTCCTCCCTTTCATGCTAGCAAAGAAATAGGCACTATTAGTATCCCCCAGTTTTAGCCATTGCACTCTTGACTTTTGCTTATAAATGGACTCCTCTATTTTATCCCATTTTTCTAGTTGCAATAGTAGTTCCTTTTCTTCTTCAAACAAAGTACTTGTGGGATTAGCATTCTCATTCTGTCTTGGATATCACTCAATTCCTTTCTTATGGTAGTTATCTTCTCTTTGACATTCTTGAACTCCATATTATTTAGTTGTTTCAAAGCAGCTTTCATAGATTTTAGGTTCCTCCATATAGCTTCCATACTCCCATTCCTCATTGTCCAGTTGTTTTCCACAATCTTCCCAAACTCAGGGTGATCAGCCATACAATTGTAGAACTTAAAGGGTCTCTTCTTGTTGTCTCTCCTTACCTCTATCTCAATTCCCAGTGGAGAGTGATCTGAGAACATAGAATTCATTATTTGAACCTGATGATGAGGCATATTAATCATCCAGCTATCATTTACTATTGCTCTATCAATCCTGCTAAATACATGACCATTTGTCCATGTATATGTCCTTCCCAGTGTTGGTAATTCTGCAAAACTACAATCTTCTATGGCTTCCTTGAAATCCCTTGTTTCATTGTCCTGCACTTCACTTCCATGCATTCTGTCCTCGGCCCCTAAGATAGAGTTGAAATCTCTCATCAGCAGCCAAGGTCTTATGCATTGCCCTGTTATGTTTCTAATTACTCCCCATAATGATTTCCTGTCATGTATGTTGTGTAGGCCATATACAGCTGAGAAATAGAACTCCTTATTATTATTTAGAATCTTCACACTGCCATGAATAATCTGATCATGTTTTTCTAGCACTGTATATTGCAGCACATTTGGATTCCATATTACCCATATTCTTCCTTTGCAAGTATTAGACACATTATGACTCCATTCCCATCCAGGTAGTATTTTCTCTATTATTTTTTTTGCTCTTATATCTTTTACTCTATGTTCACACACTGCTATCAAATCTACTTTATTTTCCTTCATAAACACCTTTAACTCCTTGTGCTTAAACACTTTATTAAACCCCCTTACATTTCATGTGACTATCATATTGAGGTTACAGGTTTTTGTCCCATCCTCTCCACCTCTACCCCTCTACTTGTACTACATTCAGCAGTTCCCCTTGCTTCTTGTTCTTGTCTTGTTTCCACTAAGCTATTGAAGCCATTCAGAACTTGAATACATTGCCCAAATCCTTGTGTTCTTTGTCCTTTTGCTGCAGATTTGCTTTTAACTTGTTGCCAATCATCTCTATTCCCAGCTTCTTTATCATTATTCACTTGTTGCTTTTCAATATCTTTTCCTACCACCTGCTGATGTTGGTTTTGTACTCCAGCTTCTTTATTGATAGGTCTCCACTCAGTCCTCTGCTTTGGTATGATCTTCATTTGTTGTTGTTCTGGTTTCATCTCACCTCCTCCTGTATTGCTTTGTTTTTGGTTACAGTTGTGGCCTATTTGCATACATTTTGAACAGTATGTAGGTTTCCAATCATACCATATCTCCTGTGCCATAATTCTACCCTTTGGATCTTTTATTTTCACAGTATTTGGTAATTCCTTTGTCACATCCACTTCTATCAATATCCTTGCATAAGAGATTCTCTCATTATTTGAAGTACAAGCATCAGCATATATTGGCTGGCCAACTAATTTTGCTTAATGCATTAGCACTCCAACAGCACAAAGGTAAGTTAGGCAGCTTGATCCAGAGAGGAATTGTCTTCAAGTCCTCAGCATCAAAGTCAAAATCAGCAATCCACACCTTCATGATAACTGGTCTGTTATTAAGCATATGTGGTCCTGAGTATATCACCCTATCCCTTTCCTCCAGACATGAGAAATTGATCACAAAATAGCCCGTATTATGACAGTATACTTTTGGTTTCTTTGAGAACTCCCCTTGTCCAGCAATAAACCTCTCCATAGCCCTCAATCGAAGGTGATCCCCCTATGACATACACTATTGCTGCATATTTCCATTTATTGATTTCACTGTCTATATCCTCTTGTACAAGTTCAACAATCACCTCACCCTCCACAATAGTAGGTAGTATAATTTCAGATCCATACCTCTTTTTGCCAATTTGTTCTCCTCAAACAGCATCGACCATGCCTTAGCTGGTTTTGGTTCCAATTCCAGCTGTAGCTTCCTCTGTGCTCCTCCTGCTTGAGCTGTTGTTCCATTGCACTAGGAATTGCTTCCTTTCCCAGATCTATAGCTGACATCTGATGTTGAGATGTTCCTTCCGAGCTTGTTATCTTCTGCATGTTAGCCGGTGTTGCCCAAGCTCCTGTTGGTGCTTTGTTTCCTTCACTTCGATCTGGTAGGGATGGCCAGGCCTGTGAATCCGGTGATGTATGTTCCTTTCCTTTGTGTTTTGACACTTCCTCACTCGATTTCCTTTCACTTACGATGTTCACCTCATTAACACCTATTTTGTTCAATGTAACAGTACCAGCACCTCCAATTGTTAGAGGTATTGGTGTAGCTAATCGTGTCATGTCCATGGTCCTTCCTTCCTTTGAGCTATTGTCTTCTTGAATCAGTATCTTTGTATTCTTCGCCGGTCGTCCTCGTGCTCTCCCCATTCCGGTGAGGGCAGATTAGCAGTTCACGCTAAGATGCGCCCAGAGAGAAAGGAAGAGAGAGAAGGCAAAAAGTAGCTTTCTTTTTCTATTCTTAGAATTAATGCTTTAAATATTGTTAAATGTCAAAGCTTACTCTTGACAAGATTCGTAGCAACAACTAACACTTGTCTCTTACAAATTATATTTCTCTAGACTAAATTTTCAACGTGTCTCTTACAAATTATTTCTCTAATACTAAGCTCTTATTTGGCCATAGATGTTGACTTTATTTTTTTTTTTTTTAAAAATGTTGTTTGTTTATGAAATATAATTATGTTTTGGGGGAATATTCAAATAAATTCAAGTTCCAAAAAACTTGTTTAGGGCAGTCTTTGGGTGAAAAATTTTCTGTCACTCACAAAATTTCAACTTTTCTTCAAATAAAATGCATGTTCAAACACAACTTCAACTTATAAAACTTATTTTTCAACAGAACTTCAAAAACTCTTTTTTCAAATTTCAATTAAATTTATGTCCAAATATTAGCTAAATTCGCAACATCTCTAACTCTTAAAATACAAAATTTTAGATGATACCAAATCAAAAGATAAAAGCCTTAATTTAAAAACCTGTAATTTTTTTCAATAGGAAAAGCAAACGTCAAACACTACTTTAGATTTGCATTCTAAAAACCAAAGTAAGTAATAACCTTGATTAAGTTTTCTAACCTAACAAAAAGTAATGCAATATTATGAAATATGGAAAACTTAAGCCGATATAAACATTAATGAGAACCAAAAGAAAAACATTGAGAGGAGGTCATTCTAATTCAAATTTAAGATGTGTGGTACTTTCTCTTCTTCAAGATACGGGACCGGTTTGATTTGTTACTAATTTAAGAAAAAAATAAATATTTCTGAAACTTATAGTGTTAACATGTCATAATACTTGTGTGAATATAACAGTTTTGAAAGATATAATTTTAAATATGTCATAGTAATATTTATGTTGTATTAATACTTTCAATAAAAATAAAATAAGAAGTTTGTATTAAATTATTTTTAAATATAAAAATATGTCTTTTGTTATAATGGATCATTAATGTCACATAAGTTATAATAAAAAGAATTTTTAAATAAATTTTAATTATTTTATTATGTGATACTTTTTATTTATATTCATTTATCTTAAATAAGGCCACACAAATCGAAATAGAAGGAATACAACGTGGGTGAAACGCCGGCTCATTCTTCAATAGGCATGCGGTCCGGTTTACACGACTTCAGGCAAATAAAGCGGCTATAAAAACTCTGCATCGCTTGCCCGCGCGATCGATAGAGTGGGTGAGTGAAAGATTTAACCTTCACCAACAAGGATTATAATGAAATAGATAAGATTTCTTCATCCTTAATTGCAGATTTCACATTCGAATCTTGAGTATGGGAAAAAATCATGTCACAGTCTTACACGACATAAATTTTAATTATTCGGTGCCTCTATACGAATACTGAACATCGGACGAAAAATCAATAAAATAGAAACATTTAGAGGCGGACGCACATAACGAGTTAAGGGGTCACCGGCATCCGAGAATTTTGACAACAATTTTATATATACTTGCAAATAATTTCAAAAAATAATCAAAAATTAAATAAGCCTTCGGATTAATTTTTATGAGCAACTAGCGTTAGAACCCGCGCGATGCGCGAATAATTTGACGGAATATTAATCTTATAAAATTACGAACTAATATATCATACTATTTTAATAAATATTAGTTACTTTTTTATTATTTAATGTAGTGTACATAAATATAATAAAATCTATACAAAATCAAAGGAAGCATTATTGTAATCAAATAAATTGTTTATTCCTTGTTTATTCTTTATTAAATTAGCAAATACTTAGTACTATACATTTACTAATGTAATTTTTTTTATTAATTTGTCAATCGGCTTAATATTTTGATACTACTTCTCTTCTAGTAGAACATACGTATATATTTTCTTATTTTGGAAATATATTTTTTTTATACTTATATTATACTGTTTAACTAAATTTATCAATAATTTCTTGTGTGTTATTTATTTATATGTTGTTTATTAATTAATTTAATTTATAAATATTATAAAATTATCTTTATCCGCCTTTTTTCGTACATTCATTTCTACTATAATATATGATTAGTTTTCTCATTTTATATTTACTGAAAATTTAAATAATATCATTTTATTTACTAAATCATAATTTTGAATTCATCAAAAGTATAAAGAGATAAGCCTTTTATTATTTTTATAAAAAACGAACTAATATTTTTAATAATTAATAAAATGTGTTTTATATATAATAATATATTATCTTATGTATAATATCCTTATAGTTTCTTTATATTTTTGTATTTTTCATTATGAAATTATGAGTTCTATTATTAATTTATTAACTAAATTTTCTTACATGAGAAATTTAATTAGTATATGTATTTTTATGATATCATTTGATTTTTTTTCTTTTAGTGTTCTTCATTTATGGCTATTTGTTTATTATGATTCTAGTTATGTGTACATGTACGACTTTACTCATAATAACACTATATATATATATATATATATATATATATATATATATATATATATATATATATATATATATA